CATAAACTTTTATGCACCAAACACTGGCATACCCAGCTTCATAAAACAAGTACTACTGGACATAAGAAATCTAATAAAAAAAAAAAGAAATCTGATAAATACTAACACAGTTGTATTGTTTTTGGAACCGGGGATTGAACTCAGGACCTTGCTCTTGCAAGGCAGGTGACAGAACCACTGAGCTAAATCCCTGGCCCCTAACATGATTGTAATAGGAAACTTTACTACCTCTACTGTCACAAGTAGACAGATCAACTAGACAAAAAGAAAAAAAATCAGAGTTGAACCAAACCTTTGTTTTTTTTTTTTGTTTCGTTTTGTTTTTTTGGTTTTTTGAGACAAGGTCTCACTGTATAGTTGAGACTGACCTGGAACTCAGTATGTAGCCCAGGCTGGTCTCAAACCCACAGTGATCCTCCTGACTCAGCCTCCCAAGTGCTGGGATTACAGGCGAGTGCCACCATGCCCGGCCTAGAACCAAACCTTTGAACAAATGGACTTAATAGATATATACAGTGTCCTACCCAATAACAGAATACACATCATTCTCAGCAGTACATGTAACTTTCTCCAAAATAGACCACGTGGTAGCCCATAAAGCATGCTTAAGTAAATGCAAAAGAATTAAAATTATCCCATAAATATTGTCAGATCATAATGCAATGAAACCAGAAATCAATGGCAAAAGAAATTATGTAAACGCATAGAAATTAAACAATACTTTCTTGAATAATCAATGGGACACAGAAGAAATTAGAATAGACAGTTCCTAGATTCAAATAATAATGCCAGTACAATGCACCAGAATATATGGGACACAATGAAAGCAGCCCTCAGAGGGGAGATTTTAACTGTGAACATCCATATCTCAAGAACACAGCAAGTCCAAATAAATAACCTGGGGTCAGAGACTTAGCTCAGTGGTTCTGCCACCTGCCTTGCAAGTTCAATCCCTGATACCACAAAGAAAAATAAAAAAAAAAAAGAAAAGAAAGAAAAACAAATAGATAACCTAATGATGCACCTCAAGGTCCTAGAAAAACAAAAAACAATCCAAGTCCAAAGCTAGGGGAAATTATGAAGATCAGAGCCGAAATTAATGAAATTCAGACTGAAAAAAAAACCCAAAGAATCAATATCTTGTTCTTTGAAAGAATAAACAAAATAGACAAGCCCCTAGCCAATCTTACTCAAAAAAGAAAAGACCCAAAGCAATGCAATTAGAAATGAAAAAGACCAAACACAACAGACTCTGCCAAAATCCAGAAGAATATTCTCAACTCTAATAAAATAGAAAATTCAGAAGAAATGGCTAGCTTCTTAGATATACATGAACTACCAAAGCTGAAATAAGAAAAAAATAAAACTCTGAACAATTCAATATCAGGAAATGAGATTAAAGAAGTAATAAAAACAAACTACCAACTAAGAAAAACCCAGGTCCTAATGGATTCACTTCAAGGAAGATCAATGCTAATATTCCTCAGACTCATTAATGAAATTGAAAGGGAAAGAGTTCTCCCCAAAGTCGTTTCTGGAAGCTAGCATTACCCTGACTCTAAATCCAGAAAAGGACACAACGCAAAAAGAGAAGTACAGTTCAAACTTTTTAATGAATATAGATGCAAAAATCCACAAGATACTGGCAAACAGAATGCAGCAAATCATCAAAAAGATCATGTACCCTGACCGAGTAGGACTCATCCCAGGGATGCAGATGGTGTGACCTATGCAAATCAATAAATGTAATGCACCACATAAACAGAAGCAAGGACAAAATCATACGATCATCTCAACTAACAAAAAAAGCCTTCTAGGGCTGGGATTTAGCTCAGTGGTTCTGCCACCCGCCTTGCAAGCACAAGGACCAGAGTCCTATCCCTGGTACCAAAAAAAAAAAAAAAAAAAAGTAACATCCATTCATCATTTAAAAAAAAAAAAGGCCTGAAGAAAATATCTATAAAAGGAGCTTACTGTAATCTTATAAAAACTATTTATGACAAACCAATGGCCAACATCATTAAATAAAGAGAAACTGAAAGCTTTCTTTCTAAAGTCAGGAACAAGACAAAGATTTTTTGCTTTCACCACTACTATTGAATATAGTTCTCAAAACATAAGCCAACATAATCAGACAAGAGAAATAAAAAAAGGGATATGTATAGAAAAGGAAGAAGTCAAATTATCATTATTTTCAGATGACATGATCCTCTACATAAAAGACCCAAAAAAATCACACCAAAAGATTCCTAGAATAAATAAACCAAATTCATTAACATAGCAGGATATAAATACTCAAAAATCAAGTGTTCCCATATACAGTAATAAAGAGAGAAAGAAACCAAGAAAACAATACTTTTCACAATATCATCAAGAAAAATGAAATACTTAGGAAATTACCTAAGCGAGGAAGTGAAAGACTCTACAATGAAAATTACAGTACTGTAAAAAGGGAAACAAGGGCTGGGGATTTAAGCTCAGTGGCACCATGTCTGCCTGGCAAGTGCAAGGTCCTGAGTTCAATTCCTGATACTGGAATTGAGAGAGAGAGAGAGTGAGAGAGAGAGATCAAAGAGGAAAATGGAAAGCTATACTCTGTTCCTGGATAAGCAAACTCAATATCGTTAAAAGGACCGCATTTCATCACTTCTCAGCCTTTTGGCTAAGATCAAGTGGGTATACACTTCCTTAACACAAGGAAATCAAAATACCATAGCATTCCTCACAGACCTGGAGAAAACAATACCAAAATACATATGGAAACAGAAGAGATTTGAAATAGCCAAAGCAATCTTGGACAACACAAACAACACAGGAGATACCACAGTCCTGACCTAAAGTTGTATTACAAAGCTACAGTGAGAAAAGCAGCATGGCAGAGGAAAGAAACAAAAAACCAAATGTATGGGTCAACGAAAAAGAATAAAAGATGCAGGAACAACTCCAGGCACATTCAACCTCTTTGACAAACGGTGCTGGGAAAACTGCCTATCCACATACAGAAGATTAAATCCAGACCCATATCTCTCACCATGTACTAAACTAGAATTAAAATGGATCAAAGATATAAATATTAAAAGAGACACTTAATCTGCTGGAGGATAAAATAAGTAAAATACTTGAAGATATGTGCTTAGGCAAGGACTTCATGAACAGAACTTCAGTTGCCCAAGAATCAACAAATGAGATCATATCAAATTTTTAAAACTAGCACAGTAAAGGAAAAAAACAAAAGAATGAAAATACAACCAAAGGGAAAAAATTGCCACCTAGTGTGTGGACAGAGGACTACTATCTAAAATATATAAAGAACTAAAAAAAAATTAGACCCCCAAGGTCTAATTAAGGTTCATACCTGAAATCCCAGGACTTGGGAGGCTGACGCAGGAGGATAGTTGTGAGTTTGAGGCCAGACTGGGCTACACAGCAAGACCGTATTTAAAAAAAAAAGGGGGGGGGATCCCCAAAATAAAAGACCCAATCAAACAAATGGGAAGTTGGCATGGTAGTGCACGCCTGTAATCCCAGCACTCGAGAGGCTGAGGCAGGAGGATTGCTGTGAGTTCGAGACCAGCCTGAGCTACATAGTGAGTTCCAGGTCAGTCTCAACTACATAGTGAGACCCTTTCTAAAAAAAAAAAAACAATGGGAAGCTGAAGTGAACAGACGCTTCACAGAACATAAAATACAAATGGCCAATAAATACATGAAAAAATTTTCAACTTCACTGCCAATAAGAGAAATGCAAATTAAAACAACACTTAGATTCCATCAAGTCCAGAAAGAACGGCTATCATCGAGAAATCAGGTAACAGGGGCCTGGGATTTAGCTCAGTGGCATCGTGCCTGTCTCACAAGCACAAGGTCCTGAGTTTGATCCCCGGTACAGGGAAAAAAAATTAGATAACAACAAATGCTGGTGAGGCTGTGGTGGGAAGGATCTTTCTACATTATTGCTGGGAATGAAAACTAGTACAGCATTGGGGAAATCAGTACGGAGATTCCTCAAAAAACTAAAGCAAGACGCTCCATTGAACTCAGGTATTTCCCTTCTAGGTATCTTCCTGAAAGAGTTAAAAACACATATTATAGTGATACATGCATACCTATGTTTATAGCAGCACAACTCACAATAGCTAAGATAAATAAGGTGTGGCATTTATACACAATGGAGTCTATTCTGCCATAAAGGATAAGCTTGAGCCATTTGTAGGAAAAGTGAGACCTTGACATTATGTTAAGTGAAATAAAATCAGACACATGTGCTTAAATATCACATGGTTTCTTTTTTCTTTTCTTTTTTTTTTTTAAACCAGGGATTAAACTCAGGACCGTGTGCTTGAGAAGCAGGCGTGGTGCCACTGAGCTAAATCCCTAGCCCCACATGGTTTCTTTTATATAAGAAACCCAAAACATAAATAAAGAGCAAAATGAAAGATAGATAAAAAGTAGCAAGATATATCTTTTGTATATGGAAAGAGGATCATGAGATGGAAGAAGGGGGAGACAGGGGAGGGTAAGGGGATTTTTAAAAAGAATTAAGAGATGTTAGGTATATGTACTAACTCTCCACAAGGGATGTGAACATTACATTTTACAAACATATACTAATAAAAAAATCCTCATCTAGACATGGTGATACATGCCTGTAATCCCCACTCTGGGGGGCTGAGGCAGGAGGATGGTAGGTTTGAGCCCAGCCTGGGCAACTTAGCAAGACCTTGTCTGGAAATAAAATAAAAAGATCTAGGGAGTGGTAGAGGGCATGCCTAGTGTTATGGTTTACAGCTAGATGCCCCAAAAGCATCAAGTGTTCATATGGTGATGGGACTTCCGGGGGCTGATTGGGTCACGGGTGCATGATAATCAGCAATGGATTAGTCAGTTGATGTTAGGAGGTAAGGATCTGTCCAGAAGAGGTGAGTCACTGGGAGGGGAGGCCTGGAAGGGTTCGTCTGTTCCCCACTCCCCTTTTCTCTATGTTTCCTACCACCATGCAGCGGAGAGACATCACAGGAACACAGGAAGCAGCTATGCACCCTGCCAGAGTCTCCAACCAAAAGCAGGAGAAGCCAGAAGACAGAACAGGGCGTCTTCACCAAGCACAGGACCAGGAGATTGTGTTGTTTCTTTGCAAGGCCCTTACAAGACATTTTGTGGGAAAAATCTGTTGAAGTATTTAGAGGAAAAAAAAAAAATCTTTCTAGTAGATCAAACTAAATAACAAACATGGAGATATTTTTCTTTCTCCCCGCCCCCCCATTAAGTTTATTGGTACATTGAAAGCAAACAATACAGTTGCATTTATCATTGGGATCTTGAGCCTTCACATAATATGTCTTGGTTCTTCTTTTTTCCCATACCCCTGGCCCTCCCTTCACCTCCTTCATCCTTCCCTATTTACAAAGATTTTGTTGAAATTTTTCTAAGATAATGAATTTATTAAAGAATGGGTGTTGCAAAAGGAATATGTGTGTGTTGAAGTAAATTATACACATGTTTAAGGAGAATGAAGCAAAAGGAAGTTTGTTTCTTTTTCTGGTACTGGAGATCCAACTCATGGCCTTCACACTGGGCTACATCATCAAGTCTTTTTTTATTTTTAGACAGAGTCTCTCTACATTGCTAATTTGCCCAGGCTAGACTCAAACCTGTGATCCTCCTGCCTTAGAGTTCTGGGATTACTGGCCCCCCGATACCCAGTTGGAAGATTTTTGGTTTTTTTTGGGGGGTAACTGTGGATCGAACTCAGGCCCTCGCATTTGCGAGGCAGGCACTGGAACCACTAAGCTAAAGCCCTGGCCCTTTCAGCTGGAAGTTTTAAAAGAGAAAATAAGGACAATTATACGAGCCGATTCAAATGATAACCCTAGGCTAGGTGTTTCATCAAGGGTGGCCTCCGTCTGAAGTTGGAGAGGTAGTTGTTGGGCAGAAATATTTTCTATGTAAGGCTGTAGTGATCTTTGTGCAAGGTGGTGGTCCTGGCAGAGTCTTTAGGGATAGTTCTTGTCAACAGGCATATGTACATGAGATCCCTTTCTTCATAACCTCCTGACTTTATTTATTTTTAGAGGGTTTTAGACGAGTGATTCCATTTTGATTCTGACCATTTTAACATCTGGTAGATCTGTAGAAAACTAATGAAAAATTAATGTAGCCGGGCGTGGTGGTGCACACCTGTAATCCCAGCACTGAGTTCCAGGTCAGTCTCAACTACATAGTGAGACCCTGTCTTAAAGAAAACAAATAAACAAATAAACAACAACAACAAAAAATTAATGTAATTATTCCAAAAAAGGCAAACCACTGCACAGTTTGACCTAGTAATTAGCAAGACAGGACTGCTATTGAACATCTAATTGTGATATCACTGTGTTGAAGGATGGAGAAGAGAAAGGCAGAGAAGAAAGAGGGGATAGTGTAAAGGAGCTATATCCTCAACTTCAGCGGGACGCCAAGAGATTGGCTGGGGCCTGCGCGTCCCAGTCGCTGATGTCTGGGCAGGGCCCTGGCTAGGGCCCACGCACCCCTACCGCTATTGTCCCGGCAGGCTACTGGTAGGGGTCTGCGCTGCCTTTGGTGTCCAGGCAAGCTTCTCCCCATAAAATTCTTTGTTTTTTTTCCCCTGGTCCCGGAGATCGAACTTGGGACCTTGCACTTGTGAGGCAGGCACGGCACCACTGAGCTACATCCCCAGCCCCTCCGCATAAAATTCTTAACAAGAGCATCTGAGATGCAAAATGGAGAGCAGGGAAGATGGAAAAGATTAATATTTTCTTTTATAAACCTTTTGGTCGCCTGCCTCGTAAGCACAAGGGTCCGAGTTCGATCCCCAGCGCGCGCACACACACACACACACACACACACACACACAACACAAATTTGGTACTCGATTTTTTTCAGCTATATGTATGTATATTTTTATTAATATAACAAAAAGAAATTTTATAATGAAAATAAATAGACTCACATGAAAGAGATATATGGAAAATGTGCCAGTTTGAGAAGTAAGATCCTGGGCATTGTTTTGCCTTCCTTTTCCTTTTTCACACTTTCCAAAATTTCTGAAATTGAAACACAATGTATTTTTTGTGGGAAAGTTACCGATAAATATTTAAAGAACATATTTACAAGTATTTGTAATGAAGGAATGGTCCCAAACTATAGATATCCGTAAGATCTACCTGAGGAGTTCTTTAAAAGGCAGAATCCCAGCCTTACTGGCTCAGATTCAGGACCTGTGTAGAAGCCCTAACACACCGGGAGTGTCAGAGTCTCCTACCCCCTCATATAATTCAAAATATAAAGCACTTCTAAATGGTGAAGTGATTTTTTGGTAACTCCCTAATTTAAAAATATGTGACACATTGTTTTAGTATATTTCCTTTTAACTGAGACATAAAAGTGCACACCCACAACTTGAAGAAGGAGTTTGTTGGCTCACAGTGTCAGACACTTCAGTCATCCTTCAGAAGGGCTCCAAGGCAGAAATGACGTGGTGGGAGGACAGCCGTGAGGAAAGCTGCTCACATCCTGGTAGCCAGGAAGCAGAGAGAAGGGAGAGCTGGGATCAAACAGGCACCCTCCCAGGTCACACCCCGGTGAAACTCTTCCAACAAGGCCCCACCTCCTAACACAAATTAGCAAAAGCACCCTCTTTATTCACTCGCTTTCCAAAAGCCCCATCTCCAAACATGAGTCTTTTAGGAGATACTCCGGATCTGAACCCTAACCCACACAGACCCTGGACATGAGACTTACAGATACCTTTCTAAATTGAGCCCGAGCATGTGTAAGTAGTGGTGGCTTCATGTGCCTATGCATTGCTAGTGCCTTAAGTAGGTGCCAGGCCTGACTAGAAGATCATCTAGCCTGGTCACACCTGAGTCACAGAGAGCTACATTTCTAATGAGCTGCCCAGGTGATGTGCCAGGACTCTACTCCACAGGACAGAACCCCCCAAGTCTAGTCCCTGAAGCTTTTCATCCATATTAGAGTTAGTTCCTTTCTCCTACAACTCTGGAGCCACTCAGCAGCTATGGCAGCAGGAGAGACACATGAGTCCTCCCTGAAAAGCAGGATTTGGTTCAGAGTAGCAGCACTGGGACATGCAACTGAACAAAAGCTAAAGGGAAACAAGCTGGAGGTAGTCAGACATCATTCACTAATGCCACCCCACTACCACCACAGGGATGGCACAGAGGGCTCCCCTGAGCCCAGGAAGGGTCTGGGTTTCAAGTTTATTTATAACCCTAGCACAGTGGTCACCTAGAGAGATTTTACCACAGCCGCCACCACCACCACTTCCCCTCACACCCCAAGAACACTTAACAGTGTTTGAAAACATTTTTGTTTGCTGTAATTGGGAGCTGGAGAGTGATGTGCCACAGGGATGCTGTTAAAAATCCTACAATGCATGGGACAGCTTTCCCCTCAATTCCCATAAAGAATTATCTGGTCCAAAATGTTAGTAATGCTGAGATTTGACAAAACCTATACTGGAACCCGTGATATAATTATTCAGATGAGATAAAGACATTAGCTGTCCTCTTACCACAATAAAACCCTATTATCTATGAATACTCAGATTGATGGAATGTGTTCAGGCAGAAGTAGGGACCATTTACACACAGGTACATTTGCAAGAACAACAATCTTCTTCCCCAAATAAGGGCAACACATACTACTGCTGCCTCTCCTAAGTGTGCACAGATGAAAACTCGTAAGAGATGTTTTGCACAATATGCTCATTTTTAAGTCTTACTTCACACCGGAAGTTGGAAATGTTCAAAACTAAAGTCTAGTCCAGCTGTGGTGGTACATGTCTGTAATCCCAGCACTTGGAAGGCTGAGGCAGGAAGATCACCATAAGTGGCAGGCCAGCCTAGCTACATAGCGAGTTCCAGGCCAGTCTGAACTACATAATCAGGTCCTGTCTCAAAAATAACAATAATAGGGCCAGAGATTTAGCTCAGTGGTGCCATGCCTGCCTCACAAGCAGTTCAATCCTTGGTACCAAAATAATAATAATAATAATAATATTGATAATAATATAAATAATAGATAATAAAAACTATATACAAAGCCTATGAGAAAAAATAACTTCTCAGGTGATGTCCCTTGCTAAAAAAAAAGGACATGTTAGTTTTCTGTATTAAGGGAAATCTAAGATACTGTAGGGCAAGCTCAAGATATGGGCACAATATTTGTTGGACCAAAGGGATATTACACACAATTGCAACATCACACTGGAAATCAAGGATCCAGCAGTGCACCAGGCAAGAGATGCATTAGGTGTTGTTATTGTTTAGGTATGGTAAAGCCAACAGATTGAGAGGAGTGCTGTTTGTGAATAATTGCTAAGACGGGAGAGGAAGCCACACCATAAAGGGTCACTTTGGGGAGCAGCGGGTTGGTGGGTTACAAGGTAGTGGAAGATGGGAAAGCTGTGGACGCGAGCCTTCTTTGTGGTTCCTGAGTGAAGGAGAGGCAAGACAGAGTAAACAGGCTTGGGACTGGCCAGCTTGAATCATTGTAGTGGGTTCTAAGGCATAGGGTCTGCCCCTGTGCATCCAGTACCAGTTGCTGAGATGATTGAGGTGGTAAACAGCGGCCCAGACTGTAAGAGACCAATGCAGGAATTGCTGGGGGTGTGATGTGAAATGGTTGTTTGGGTTTGAAGAGCACACTGAGAACAGGTTGTCCACTCCTCCTAGGAACTGGCTCCCCAGGGAGAGTCAGACAGACCCTCCCCACACAGGAGAGCCCACATACCAAAGTACTAGAATACAGAAAATAAAAGCTTTGGCTAGTGCACAAGGGGAACATCATGAAAAACAAACATGTGACAAAGGAAACTGATTTGTGCTCTGTGTGCAAGGATCTATGAAAAGGAGACACATGGGCTGGGGATTTGGCTCAGTGGTTCCATCTCCTGTCTCGCAAGCACAAGGACCAGAGTTCAATGCCAGGTACCAAAAATTAAAAAAATAAAAAAAGAAAGAAAAGAAAAGGAGACACATTCAAGAAAGGTTAGTGGAGCCTGACAAAGTGGTTTCTTTCTCCTCCTGCAGACTAAATTTTAATCTAATGCCTGGGTCAATCATTAAATAAAGCCCAAACATACATCCAAAT